GGGGAGGCAGCGGGCGGCATCGCGCAGGCGCGGGCAGGAGCTGCCGGCCCCTCCTGGCCCAGGTGAGCGCGGTGCAGGTGAGGGGAGGGGAGGATTCAGCCGGCGGCGCCGCTCCCCGCAGCCCGTGAGCGGCGGGAGCCGCAGCCCGCAGCGCCATGTCCGTCCTCGCCAAGATGGGGGACTGGCAGGTAACGGGGGGCTGCCCCATTTTGTTGGGGGGTTGCTATGTGGGACGGGAGTTGGGTATCGGGGGACGGGACGAACCGGGACGCTCCCACGCGTGATCCGACCACGGGGGGGGAGGGAGGGGTTGGGTGGGTTCGGTGCCTGCGCTGCTCCCGACTTTTCCGATCTCGCTCCTCGCTGCTTTATTCCTTAATGCAGGAAAAGACCAAAAAAAAAAAAAAAAAAAGTGAGCACAAATATATTTTTAATCACTTTTACAGTTGAAATTGGCGTCCTTTATCGGGGGGTCGGCGAGTAGAAGCGATCTAAATAGGATAGATACGTGTGTGTGTACACATCTGTGTTACTTTTGCACTTGGTTTGCTCGGTTACGTACCCCCACTTAGGCTCTCTTTGCCCCAGATGTGCCCCCACCGCACCCCGCTGCGCGCTGCCCCGGGCGGCACATAGCGGGGGGAGCCCCGGGGTGCGGGGTTGGGCGCTGGGGGTAAGCCGGGGCTCCGCGAGGCAGAACGCAGCGTCTGAGAGGATGGCGCCTCGGGGAGCGAAATGAATGGGATCGGGGAGGAGGGAAGAGGGGCCCCGGGGGAGGGAGAGCGGTGCGGGGCCGACGGAGCGCTCCGCGTAGGGAACAGACGAAGTTCGGTGGTGTCACCGCTCCGTCCGTGCGCCGTAGCGTTCGCAGAAGTGTTTTTGGCTGCCCGTGTTTTTGCCTCGCCGTTCTGTCCGGGTGTGGCGTGTAGGGTTTGGGGCTGGATTTTGGAGAGCAACAGCGATCGGGACCGGAGGGGAAGAGAACAGTTCTCGAAAGAACTCGGCTTTTCAATAATCCGTCAAAAAATAAAAGGTGACATCGAATCCCGAGGGCAGGAGCTACCTCCGCAGGCGGCAAACGGTCGCACCTCTCTTCCCCTCTGCTTGGTTTTTGGGGGAAAAAGGGGAAAAAACTCAGAGGACGCCCCGCGCCCGGGGGCCGGACGGGAGCACGGCCCCTTTCCCCCCCGCGGTGGGCGCACACGGGCGCAGAGCCGTCCCTACGGCCCCGTACCTGCGGCGGGCGCGGGTCGGAGCCGGCGAGCAATTGGGCCGCGGTCGCTATGCTAATGAGGCGCTCCGGCTGCGGGTAAAGCGCTGCAAAAGGGAAAAGTTTCTGCCATTAGAGGGAGATCTCCGAGCGCTGAGTGCAGAGCGGCTCTGCACAGCTCAGCCGCGCACCGCAGCATCGCGCCGGGGGGATCGGACCCTCTCCCGCCGACCCATGAAAATGCTCTGGAAGCTGACGGATAACATCAAGTATGAGGAGTGCGAGGTAAGCGCCTGCCGGACCGGGCACTGCCCCGGGGCCATTCGCCGCGAACGGGGCCGCGCAGCATCCACCGATCCGCGGATTTCGTTGAGGAGGAGTTGTGCCCCCGCGCCGGGAGCGGCCGAAAGGGGCCGGGGCCGCTGGGAGCCCACGGGGAACGACGGCGGAACGAGAGCCGGAGCTGTGCCGGCCGTAGGGAGAGCTCTGTGCGTGCGGCTCTGAGGGATGCTGCGCGCATCCGCGCGGATGAATGGACGGATGGATGGATGGATGGCCGGACGGATAAATGGATGGATGGAAGGAAGAATGGATAGATGGATGGAAGAGCGAGGAGACAAAGGGAACAGAGCGGCTCAGGACAGCCGCTTAAATCCCTCCTGGTGTGGCCGTGTCCCGAATGCGGCTCTGGGGGCAACCTCCCCGTTCTCAGGGCCCTTGAGCAGTCGTATACGGACAGCTCGGAAAATTAAATCCCAACAACTAGGGTCGGAGGACAGACCCGTGTGTGTGTGCGGTCGTGCTCTGAGTGTCTTTTGGTCTGCCAAAAAAAAAAAAAAAAAAAGGAGAAGAAGAACAGAACGAAGAGGGCAGCCCATGCCAATCCCCAACGAAAGCCACGCTCACACCTTCCACAAAAGTTCTCCTTGCGGCACGGATCAATAAAAGGAATGCACTGTGCGAACGAATGTACTTCCTTGGGGCCGAGCCGGCGCCGGGCGATGCCGCGGCGTAGGGCAGGGTCCGAGGAACCGCCGGGAACCGAAGGATGGGGTGCTTCAGTCCTGCCCCGAGCTCTGGGACGCAGCCGCTGCTCGGAGCGAGGCTGAGCTGTCGGATATGCGATGTCTGGCAGTGGGGCGTCAGGGAGAATTTTTTTTTTTATTTTATTATGACTGTCATAATTATTATTCCATCCCTCGGCCGAAGGCACGGCGAGAGCTTCACTTCCTCCCCGCCTCAGGCCTCCGGTTGTGGGTCAGCGCCGTCTGCGTGCCGCTGCCGTCGGGTCTTCGGCCCCGGCCCCCGCGGGCGCCGATTTCGTCCCGTCAAGGCCCGGCGCAGTGCGGAGCCGGGGCCGGGATAGGGGCTGAGGAGCGGCGCGGAGGGCGGTGCCGGAGTCGCGCAGCCAGTCGGACGGGTTGCGCGGGGCCCGGCGTGTCTGGGCCGGACGGAGGAGAGCTCGCCGTGCCTCCCTCCCGCCGTGCCCGGCTCTCTCCTTCTCCCCCCGCGTCCCGCCCGCCCTCCTTCCTCCCTTCTCTCCTTCCTTCCCTCCTCTTTTCCCGGCTCCTCCGAGTGGGGGGCGGCGGATGCTGGCGGGGCTGGAGGTGCGGGAGGAAGAGGAGGAGGAGGAGAACTTTCCAGGACGCGGCGGCGACAGCGGAGCGGGGACCCCTCGGCGGGGCATGGACGGGGCGGCGGCGGAGCCCCCCCCGCGAGAGGGCGGCGGGCCGGAGGGCGGCGGGAGCCGGGAGCGGCCGCTCTTCTCCTCCTCCGCCGCCTTCGAGCCCGGCTTCTCTCAGCAGCCGCAGCCCGAGGTGCGCCCGGGGCCGGGGGCGAGGAGGGAGGGAGGAAGAGGAGGGAGGGAAGAAGGGAAGGAGAGAAGGGAAGGGGATCCCGCGCCCCCCCCCTCTTTTTCCCCCCCCCCTCCCCCCGCCGCACGGTTCTCCCACCTCCGCCGCACCCCTCCCGGCTCCCACCCTCTGCCTCTCTCCGCTCTCTTTCTCTTTCACTTTTGCATGCCCCGCAACCTTTTAAAATGTGGCCCCTTCCCTGTGATTCGCCAGACGCGGCGGCATGTCCCCCCTGCGCGCCGCGCTCCCTCCCTCCCTCCTTTTTGTCTCTCTCTCCCTCTCTCTCCCTCTCTCCCCGGCGCTGATTAGATACACCGATTCCTCATTCAATGGACGTCATTTAGAACGGGCTCTGCCTTGAGTTGCCTTCGCGCTTCACGCTCGATTTGCGGCCATTCTTCCCTTATTAAGTATTCGTGTAATATTAATAGTCATGAATATCCGCTGCTAGGAGGCTCCGGGAAGGCGGCGGCGGAGCGGGCGTGAGGAGCCCGAGCGGAGCGGCGGAGCTCGGGGGAGAGGAGAACGAGACAGAGACAGAGCGAGAAAAAGGATTGAGAAACGAACACACATCCTAAAAAAAAAAAAAAAAAAAAAAAAAAAAAAAAAAAAAAAGGAAAAAAAAGGAAAAAAAAAGGAAAAAAAAAAGCGCAAACAAACAAACAAACAAACAAAACAAAAAAAATCGACCAACTTTACCTCTCGCCCCGCGCCAGGATAGCAGAGGCTCTGCAGCACCCGATGAAGGGCAGCGGCGGGCGCTGCGCGTTCTGATGGATTCCGGCGGCGCGGGCGCGGAGCAGGAGCAGCCCCGGCGCCCCGCTGCTGCCCCCCGAGCGTAGCGCCGGGCTCCGGCCGCGTCCCTCCGCGCAGCTCCGCGCCCCTCCGCGGCCGCCCCGCGCCTCTCTCCCCGCCGCGCAGCCCCCGACGCCTCGCAGATGTTAGTGCACAGTTTTTCGGCTATGGTGAGTGGCTTCGCCTTTCTCTCCGCCGGGGGTCGGGGCTCGGGGCTCTGCTATTGTTGGCGGCGGCGGCGGCCGGGCTTGCGGCGGCTCTGCCCTGCGTTCTGGTGTTTCGTCTCGGCTTCGCTCTCCTCGTTCTCGTTTGGTTTTATTTTCCTTTGCTTATTTGTTGGGGAAGGGGGGGGGAGGGGGATTGGTTTGGATATGTTGGTGTTTTTTCTTTCTTTTCCCCTTTTTCCTTTTTATTTTCCTTTTGATTTCTCTTTTATTTTCTTTTTCCCCTTACCCTCCCCCCTCCCTTTTTCCTTTTTTTTTTTCTTTTTCTTTTTTCCTTTTTATTTTTGCTCTGCCGATCTCTAGAACCGCCACCCCGTTCCCTTCTCCCCGCACCTGCCCGCGGGGTTTTCCTCCTTCCCCCGCCGCCTTTCTCAGGGCTCCGTCTCTCTCCTTCCGATCCCTTCTTCCTCCTCCTCTTCCCCGTCGGAGCGGGGCCCGGAGGAGACTCTGGGGCCGCGCCTTAGCCCCGAATCGTTGTGCAAAGTTGCGGGCAGGGGCAGCGGTGCCCCCGCAGCAAGATGGCAGTTCGCTCGGCTCCCCCGCGTTATCCCCGGGATGTGGCGGCGGCGGCCCCCGGCAGAGGAGCGCCGGGACCGGGGCAGCGCTTTTGGTTACGGTTTCGGATTATGGTTCCTTTGGGCCCCATGTAAGGGTTCTCTCAGTGCCCGCTGCCGGGGCACGGCCAGCCGGGAGCGCACGGAGCCCCGCCGCAGCGTTTTTTTTTTTGGCTTTTTTTTTTTTGAATTGTTCGGAACGGTCCCGTTATTGTGGTTATCGCTGCTATTACACCGCCACCGTTGGGGCGATGGTCCGAGCCCCTTTAATGCTGCCGAGGTGGGCAGACGGACCTCTGTCTCTTCCTCCGAGAGAGGAATTGCCCGGTGGGGGAAATGACCGGAGGGCGATTTTGAGGAGCAGCGGTTTTGATTTCATCTTTTGTTTTTCTTTTCTCCCCCTCTCTCCCCTCCCCTCCTCCCCCGTACCCCCTCCCCGTGTC